GTCAGAGCAGTGGGAGGCAGGGGTGCGTGGTGGAGAGGAGAGGGAGCCTCACTGCCAAAAACTTTGTGAGGGGCTCTGGCAGCAGCCAGGGTGCAGGTGCATTTGGAGAGGCTCCTTGGAAACGGGATTTTCTGTTTCTTTATCATATGAATATTTTGATTGGCAGCTTTTAAGCCTGGAAAAGCAAAGAGCTCCGATGCAGCTGAGAAGGTCAGGAGAGCTGCCTAATTGTATGTCCTGTCCCACAGTGCAGACAAGCAAGCCCAGACACTCCCACATCCCATAGGAGCCACCCAGTTTTAGTTGAATGGCTTAAAGTGAGGGAGCAGTGACTCCCCCTTATCACCCCCATACACCAACACCAGCCCAGTAACTGAATGCCTGCTAATTACCAGAGCTCCTGCTAATTAAGTGCAAACTGTGGCCCCAAGTGTTTGCAGTTACTGTTCAGTGCCCTCATACAGAGAGGAACCTTCATGGATTTGCACTCCATGGATTGGCACTCCATGACTGGTCCTTTCCATCTGCCTTGTACAGGAATCTTGACCAACATGTTCCTTAAAGTCAACATCTGTATTCCAACCTGGAGAACAGGGGAGAAGGAGCCTTCATGCTGGATTTGTCAGCAAGACATAGACATCCTGGCTGCAATGTTCATGGCAAAGAGACAAAAATTTTTTAAAAAGGAATAGCAAATATATTATATATATATATACATACATACATATATATATATATATAAACAGGAAACAAAATGCATCCTTGCACTGCTGCTATATGCTGGAAATGAATAGCAAAAAACACCACCAACAAACAAAGTCAACCCACTGCAGATAAATTGAAGAATTTCGTGGATTGGTGATCAAATAAGATTTAAAAAGTAATAATAATAACAATAATATCGGTAACAATAGAATAAGCCACCATCTTGCATGTTACATTAAAGGACACACAATCATGAGTTCATTTGTTGCACACTGAATGGAAAGGAAAACTGCTTTGCAACAAAGCAAGAAGTAAGCAAACTGAAATAAAAAAACACAAGCAGAAGCAAACCTATTCCCCACCTCTGGAAAGAAGAGAGAAAAACACTGAATTTATGACCACAGAGTTATTTTCCAATTCACAAGTGTCGTTTTGCCCTTCTCCTCATTCCATGCTGGTTCTTCTGCATTTTTTTGGGTTCTGTTAACTCTTTCCCTTCCCTTCCTTATCTTCTCTGTGCACTTGTCCAACCTCTTGTTCTCTGAAGGTATTTAGGAATGGATTTCATTTCAAACAAAGAAAATGATATGTATATGGTTTCTCATCTCTAAAGAGCAGCCTGTGGGGTTTCATATGGATGTGCATTTCAGTTATGTATATTATTATATATAACAAAGGGGGAGGGAGGGAACAATGCTGAAATAATTCAACAGTGCTGGTAAATATGATGCCAACATTTTTAAATTATTAACTCTTTGATTGACTGTGGTTGGTGTATTTTGAGACTCTTAGATCACACATGGGACTCTGAGTCCTGCAAGAAGAGAACTGAGAAGGTTTCAGCTGCTGCTAGTTGGGGGGGGAAGATGAAAGGGCAAGGGACAGGAATGTCCCTCCAGCTGATCTGCAGTGTGTGGTGGTTAGATTTGGAGGGGCAGCAGTGACTTGGAGGGGTAAGGAAGGGGGTTGAGGCTCCAGCTGCAACAGCTGTTGGCAGAACTGTCTCCTGGCCCCCAGCCGGAGCCATGGGATCAGCAGGACTGTGTTCATCGCTCCCCTCCAGCCCACTGAGCCATGCCAGTGGTGGGGGTGGTTTTGCTTTGTTTCTGGATCCCAGTAATGAAGTTACTTGAGCTTTGTAGTAGGGTCAAAGGCAGAGGGGCTGTTTCTGCCCTGTCTGCCCTGCTACCTGAGGTGTGATGGCAAGGGCTGCCCGAGGTGCTTGGGCTGGGGACGGCAATGGCAGGGCCGTGGCAGTCCTCCCCTGACCCGCCTAGGAGTGGGCAGTGGAGGGACCATACTGTGTCCATCACTGCAGAGCGTCCGCAGCATCCCAGGCTGGATGGGGGAGCCCAGGCCCTCTGCATAAGCAGGCGTGTGTTGAGGAGGTGTCAGTGGAGCTGCTCCCAGCTCGGCCCAGCTCGGGCCACAGACTCCCCCCACGGCTGCCTTTGGAAGGGGGCCATGGACCAAGCCCAGGCCTCTGTACACTGTGAACCAGGCAGTTAGGGTAGACTCAAAACCAAAACCAGAAAGGAAAGGAAATAAATGGGTTTCCTTCTTGAAATTGTCTCTAGCTCCTACAGAAACAGAAGGGCCCATGATTCTGCACCATTTTGCCTTTAGTCTCCTACCGCTCACACAGACCATGCCCAGAAATAGACATGTTTTGTCAGGTCCTGCCACAGCTTGGAGGATGCCATGGACAGACCCTGCTCACCACCTTCACTATCCCAGGTGGGAGCTGCTCCCTGGCAGTTGCACTGACCGGTTGCTCACCAGGATGTCCCTGTGAAGTCTGTTCTCCTGGCAGAGTGGTTTCTCCTGCAAGCATGGAAGGCACGACCACTAGCAGGTAGGGCTGCCAGCTCTTGAGGGTCTCCCCAGCTTCCAGCCAAGCGCCTTCAGCTACCTTTAGAGAGCAGACCCCCAACCTAAAAAGAGTTAAAGCAGTTGCGAAGGCTACTTTTCTCTCTGTTGTTTTTCCAATGCACCCAAGCCAGCCATGACCACCAATGGCATTGTCAGAGGGTGAGGGGGTGCTGGAGGGCCAGTGGTCTGCCCACTGTGCTGGTGTTCAGCAGCACATAGCATCTTTCAGACATGGAGGAGCCCACCCAGCTTGGATATGGCCCTTGGACACCTCCACAACCCCCCCAGGGCCACTGGGACCCTCGAGACTTGCTTTTGGCGTTGTGCAGAATCAGGAAAGTAAAGGTTCCTGTGGAAGTGAAAGGCCTTACACAGTTAGACTTCATGTGCGCTTGGACTGAAGTGAGTTCTGTTTGCAGTGAGCAAACCCAGCCCCTGGCTCCCACAGCATGTTTATGGGTGGCAGTGTCTAAAACTTTTCTAAAAAAAAAGGAAGAAAAGGAAAGAAAAAAGCTCACTGCTTGTTCCCTGGGTGAGGTGTGGTTTTCTGATGCTCAGCTCAAGCCCACCCATCACTGCGCTCTGTTTTTAATAGCTGGTCACCACTTGTTTTCTTCCAGGGGCCTTTCTGTTGAAAGGGGTGGGAGACATGAGTGCCTGTTTTTATCCAATCCCGCAAATTCATTCTGAACGTGGCCTGCAATTGCATGAGTAATATAACAATAACAATAATAATATTTATTTTTATTTGAGAAGCACCTTACCAACCAACTGCAATGCTCTGTTGTTCCTTCACTAACTCTCCTTTTCTCTTCCCTTGTTCTCCCTCTCCCCCTTTGGTCATACTCCTTTTCAGTGCTCGGTGGTGTATGCGTGTGTGCTCACTGTTCTTGTATTCAATAAAAGTGAAATAAATGTGTTTGATGCTAAATCAGCTTGGGGCCTTGGTGAACTCTTTCCTACTCAGAGGATGGAGAAGTGAAGGGGAACCGTGCAGCTGGGGTCACTGCACATGGAAATACAGAACTCTGTCTAAAGAGAAGATCACAAAATCATAGAATCCTCAAATGGTTTGGGTTGGAAGGGACCTTAAAGCTTGTCTTGCTCAAACCCCTGCCATGGGCAGGGACACCTTCCACTAGCCCAGGTCACTCCAAGCCCCGTTCAACCTGGCCTTGGACACTTCCAGGGATGGGGCAGCCACAGCTTCTCTGGGCAACCTGTGCCAGGGCCTCGCCACTGTCACAGGAAAGAATTCCTTCCCAATATCCCATCTAACTCTGCCCTCTGTCAGTCAGAAGCCATTCCCCTTGTCCTGTCCCTCCAGGCCCTTGTCCAAAGTCCCTTTCGAGCTCTCTTGCAGCCCTTTTAGGCCCTGGAAGGGGCTCTAAGGTCTCCCTGGAGCCTTCTCTTCTCCAGGTGACCCCCCCCCAGCTCTCCCAGCCTGTCTCCAGAGCAGAGGGGCTCCAGCCCTTGGAGCATCTCCACAGTCTCCTCTGGACTCACTCCATCACTCCACATTCCTTCTATGCTGAGGACCCCAGACCTGGAGGCAGCACTGCAGGTGAGGCCTTATGAGGGCAGACAAAGGTGCCACCAGGTCAGGAATTGTGGCTGCTGACCCTCATACAGTCCTGTGGGGCAGCGAAGATGCTTTTGAGGCTGCTCAAAATGCAGAGGCAGTGTGAGCTGCCCTGCTCTGGGGGACACTGAGTCCGTCTGTCATCCTGGGAGGGACAACAGGGTGCTGCAGATGATCTGTCCTGCTGTGGGGTCTGCGTGTCACTGCAAGGGTCCCCGTGTGTCTGTCTTGTGGGGGCTCCTGGTCCATCAGACCCAGGCTCTTGTCTGTCCGTCCCGCTGCAAGGCTGGGAGGACAGGGGGAATGGCTGCCAGCTGGGGGAGTGGGACCCGTTTTGGGGTCAGCGGGTCAGCGGGGAGTAGCCGCCAGGCATGGATGGTCAAGGGGTCAAAGTGGAACAGCACCGGGCAAGGGAGCTGGGGATGGGCGGGGGGGAACAGGGACCGGGCAGGGGGGTTAGGAGCCGAGCCGAGGGACACACGGAGTGATAGGGACCGAGCCAGGGGTGAACGGAGGGACAGGGACTGGGCTGGGGGTGAGCGGGGGGTCAGGGACAGAGCCTGGGGGGCAGGATCCAAGCCGGGAGATGGACGACGGGGACAAGGACCGAGCCGGGGGGACAGGGGAACGGGGCAAAGGGATGGATGGGGGGCAGGGACCGAGCCGGGGGCGCCCATGAGGACATGCGCCCCTGCTCACCGGACACCTCCCCACTGAGCGCCCGGAGAGCTCCGGCCCGGGGGTCGGGCGAGGCCTGGTGCTCCTCCCACCGCCTTCCCGGAAACACCGGCCCGGATTTCCGGGAAGGGCCGCTCCATCTCCGGTTCCGGCGGCTGGGGGCGGCTCGTCCGGCCCGGCCCCGCCCGGCCATGGCGGCCCAGCGGCCGGACCCCGAGCTGGCCCGGCAGCTTTTCTTCGAGGGTGCGGCCGTGGTAGTGCTGGACGTGCCCGAGGGCACCGAGTTCGGTATCGACTATAGCGCGTGGGCCGTGGGGCCGCGGTTCCGCGGTGTGAAGATGGTCCCGCCGGGGCTGCACTTCGTGCACTGCAGCGCGGGCAGGGCGGGCGGCGGGCGGGACACGGGGCCGCGCTCCGGCCGCTTCCTGAGCCTGCGGCGCCGCGAGGTGCGGGTGCTGCGCTGGGACCCCGCGGGCGAGGCGGTGCGGCCGGAGCCCCCCGGGGAGGGCGAGGCTCTCCGGGAGAGCCTGCGGGAGCTGGACCCCTTCCTGGGCCCGTACCCGTACGAGACGCTGAAGAAGTGGGTCTCGCTGACCTCCTTCATCAGCGAGGCGGCGGCGGAGCAGCTGCAGCCCGAGAGCGGCGAGATCTGCGCCTTCGCGGAGGTGCTGCTGGAGCCGGCGGGGCGGCACACGCGGGACCGCGCCGGGCAGCACCGGCCGCCGCTCGGGGCCGAGTGCCAGAGCTACGCCGAGGGGCTGGCGAGGCTGCCCCGCATGCGGCCCCGAGCCGGCACCCAGATCCGCTTCACCGAGCTGCCCAGGCAGCTGTACCCCGATGGGGCCACTCCCGAGGAGATCACCCGGCACAGCATGGACCTCAGCTACGCCCTGGAGCGGGTGATGGAGCAGCGCTATCCCGGCCGCCCGCTGGAGCTGCTCGGTGAGCACCGCCCGGGGCACTTCTACTTTATACTCTTATTTGGGTTATTAGCCCGTTTGGGGGTATAAAGTCATGAAGGCTGAGGGAGTTGGGCCTCTTCAGCCTCAAGAACAGACGACTGAGAGGCGACCTCATTATTGTATGTTAATGTCTGAAGGAGTGCCAAGAAGGTGGAGCCAGGCCCTTCTCGGTGGTTCCCAGCAATAAGATGCGAAGCAACAGGCAGAAACTGATACCTAGGAAGTTCTACCTGAATATGAGGAAGAACTTCTTTCCTGTGCAGTGACAGCACACTGGAACAGATTGCCCAGAGAGGTTGTGGAGTCTCCCTCACTGGAGATATTCCAGACCCATCTGGACACAATCCTGTGCCATGTGCTCTGGGATGAACCTGCTTGAGCAGGGAGGTTGGACCAGATGCCCCACTGTGCTCCCTTCCAACCTGAACCATTCTGTGATTCTGTGACTGTGAAATGAGAGCTCTGGGATGAACCCTGTGCTTGTTCTCTGGTGCCCTGAGGCATCTCTCTTTGTTGCAGGACAGAAGTTGGTGTAGTTTTTAGCAGCAACAGGGCCTGTTCCAGTTGCCTGGGGAAGAGACTTCATTGGGGTCTGTAGCTTCGCAAGGGGCAGAGGGGCAGCATCAATCTCTGCTCTCTGTGATCGGTGACAGGATCTGAGGGAATGGCTGGGGCTGTGTCAGGGGAGGTTTAGGCTAGATATTAGGAAAAGATTCTTCCCCCAGGGGTGGTCGAGCACTGGAACAGGGTCCCTAGGGCAGTGCTCATGGCCTTAGAGCTTGAGGAGTATTTGGACAAGACTCTCAGGCATATGGTGGGATTGTTGGGGTGTCCTGTGCAGGTGTGGGAGTTGGACTCGATGATCCTTCTGAGGATCATCGAGTGATGATTCTGTGATTCTGTTCTACAACTCTGTGGTGTAAGGATGTGATGCTGGAGGTCACGAGCTCTCAGCCTGCCTCTGGCTTCTGGGTGCTGCTCTTGGAGCCCAGATTGCCTCAGGTTAAGTCAAAAGCAGCAGTCACAGGGCTGTCATCTGGAACCAGCCTGGCACTTTGCCTGTTAAGTCAATCTCTTGAGGACAGGTCTTACAGAGTCCCGGGAGTGTTGAGTGGGGCCTTGTTCCTGATGTGTGGGGAGGGGGTACGGTTCTCCCAACCAGTGGTTCCCGGTGCAGCGACTGGTCCCTACCAGGCTGGCACAGTGGCAGCTCAGACATGTGTGCTGTCTGTGTGCATGTGTACTCTGTGTTTGCTCCGTGTGCTGCCAGAGACTTGCCATGGCAGCGTCTGGGCTGTGCCAGTGCTGCAATGTGGAAACCCCCTCAGCCAGGGCTGCATCTCCCAGGGCTCAACTACTCCCCAGCCTTTTGTACAACCTGTGATGCAAATAAATAGTGAAGCTGTGGAGGTCCTGGAGTGCGGTTTTGTTCTGTAGTAGGATGGAGGGAGAAGCCCTCCTCAGCTTTACAGCTGAGGCTACTGAGCTACAAGCCTTTGTTTTTCCCTTCTGTTTTTTCTATATTAATATTATACAATTTATTCTTTTTTCAAAATTATCAAAGACAACTGTAGAATAAACAATGAGTTACCATAGGAAAGAGTGGCAAAATAGCTGATGCCAAGCAGCCAGTGAGATGGACTCTGGGTCTTAATTCAACAAGGCAAACACATCCGTGAATGTGCTGCTCAGTGTTCCACTGCAGTGGTGTTTGCAGTCCCATGTGGCTCTGGACACCCAGGCTCAGGAGGACTGAATGCTTACAAAATAACAGCAAGGTCTGGCTCATTGTTTGGGTTTGTAAAGTCCTGTGAAGTCCCTCTACAATGATGATAATCACAGTTACAGGCGACCTGCCCCATTCTGCTTTGAAGAGCAGAGCATCAGCAAATGGTCAGTGTTTGGAGTATTAATCACTGCTGGCAGGATGTGCAAAAGTCAAACCAGCACTTATCAGTCATTTACAGAGCTTTGAGGAGGACACATACCTTGGATATCTGTCTTATGTGTGTTTTGTTTTCTGAATCCACACAGGTGAGCTGCAGTTTGCTTTCATTTGCTTCCTCATTGGGAACGTGTACGATGCCTTTGAGCACTGGAAAAGACTCCTGAACATCCTGTGCCGATCTGAAGACGCCATAGGGAAGTACCAAGACCTTTACATCAATCTCATTTCTGTGCTGTATCACCAGCTCAATGAAATCCCAGCAGATTTTTTTGTGGACATTGTCTCCCAGGACAACTTTTTAACCAGCACGTTACAGGTACATTTGTGACTGTCCCCTGAGATATAGGAGTGGGAAGCAGGGCATACAGGGCATCAGACCAAATCTAGGGAAAAGCTGCAGAAGGAATCAAGCTGCTGTTGAGCTGTGTGGGAGATAGTGAGCCTGTCTAAGCACACAAGGATTTTCTTTTACTTTTTCCCTATGTTATTCATTGAGAAATGCCATTTGCTTCTCATCTCAGCATTTGGTCTGCTCAAATTATGCCTTGAAGAGCCTAATGCAGTGTAAAATTGAGTTTGGCAGGGAGAGGAAATGTTGCAAATAGTGCTGGAAGCAACGTGCCACAGTGCCATGGGTTTGGAGTTCTGGACTGGCACATCTAATGCAACTGGACTGCACCAGCAGACTTGTCCTAGAAGGTTTTAAGACCTTTGCCTACATTGAGCTGAACAGCTTCAAGAAAGGCTGAGCAAGTGCAAGATGATGTCTGTCTGTGTATTTTTGCCCAAATGCCATTCATTCTTTAAAAACAAAACCAACAAACCAACACTAAAAACTTTTGCATAAAGGACTGATGATGCTGATTTTTGAGCAGCTTGAATGGTTTTCTTAGTATGCAGGGAAGCTGCAGCAAAGCTTGAGCTTGGGGCAGTGATAGTATTTTAGAAGCTTTTCCATTCCAGTTAGCCTTAAGCAAAGCTGAAGATTTCCTGTAGTCAAGTTCTTATCCAGAGGGAATTTATGATTATTCCAACATGCAGCAAATGCTGCTTCTGCTGAGACAGGCAGGGGCAAATATGTGATTCAGCACCAGTGAAACCAGTTACTCCCACTGGCTGTGACCATACTGTGACAGTGCAGCCAATTGGCTAATCAAAACTTAGTTTAAAAAAAATAGCCAAACCCAGACACACTGATGAAGTTCAGCAATGGAAACAATCCCTGCAGTAATTAGGGATAGTAGTGCTTCAAGTGCTTGATGCTTGATGCCTTCTCCTTTCCCAGAAAGCAGGTGCATTCCTCTCCTTTTAACTCCCAAGTTCTTGCTATAGATTTGGGGAGGGTTGAGGTGTTTGGTTTTAATTTGCTGGGTAAAATGGTATGGGAAACATTGCTTTAATCAAGTGATTTTTTTTGAATTTGGATTCTTTACAAGTCTCACTTTTTTAATTTGTATTTTATTTCTCTTGGTAGATTTTTTCCGTCACATTACAGGACTGAAAAACCCAGCCCTGTTTGCAGTACACTCAGAGCAACTCTGTGCATTGTCAGCTTACAGTACTACAAAGAATATGTCACCCAGCTGTTCTCTCTATCTGAGGGGAATTTGGGGAGCACCCTTATTGCTGGTTATCTTTCCTTTTTGGCTGCCTGAGTCTTGTCCGCCCCTGGGTTCCATCAGTCTGTGTTTTACTTCAGCAGCAGAAGCTGGCACAAGGGACCACCCTTAAGCCTTGGCAGGAGTCATCAATTCCTAGTGACAAAGAACAACTTTGCCTTGCTAAGTGAGCCTCTCCTCACTCAAAGTTCTCTGCTTCTCTACTCTCCTGGGATTTCCCTGGAATAGTGCCAGGGAACCCCTGGGACTTGCCTTACCCAGTCACTTGGCACAGACCCCTCAGAGTTAACTGGGCGTGGGCAGGTGCACAGAGATGTGTGGGGAAGTGTATTGTCTGTGGAGCTCCTGCTCAGCTCTGAATACAGCAACTTTTTATTTTTGGAGTTTGATCCAAGGCGAGGAGAGTACAGCACAACCACCACTGACTGTGCAGCCCTAACAATGTTTAAAGAAAAAAAGATCTTGATCAAGTAGCTAATTTAATGTGCAGTTCATTGAGGAGAAGTGGGAAATACAATCTTTCAATGTTTTTTCTTTAACAGCAGCCTTGCTGTGTACAAGTTCTTTTAGAAAGAGGTAACGTCACGGTGCAATGAACGAGGAAAAGACAAATGATCATTCACAAAGCAACAAACTTTGCTGCTTGTTGTCAGTGTTTTATCCAGCTGTCAGTAGCTCTCTCCCAAATATGAGGCTGCATTTTCCCTAGAAGAAATTTCTTCTTATGGAAATTAATTCTGGATCACAAGCTTAGCAGAGGACCAGAAGCAGGTTGATGAGAGATGAGCTCTGGGGCTAAATGCCCTGTTAATCTTACACAGATACTTTCCAGGTGCCAACCGAAGCTGTGAATCTGTGACATGTTAATACATTTGTTCTTGGATGATGGAGGGGAGAGGTTAGTCCAGATTTCAGTGCCCTGCCCTCAAGGCTGTGCTGGGGATAACCGGACTTTTTCCAGAGGGCTCTCATTCCTCTCTTACCTTCAAGGTCTTTTTATTGAGTTTCCTCTGTATCTAAGGTGTTGGTGATACCATATTACAAAATTACTTTGAGAGATCTCTAACCATGGAAACAATGGGTACAATTAATTACCTGTTGACCTTTTGGACACATGCTGGAAAATTGGCTACTGATAATGCTTTTTTTTTTAATTCCTTCTGCTCGGACATTTCAGACATTTTCCTTAGCTCACACTTAAGCATATTTCAGAATTCCATAATACAAATTCGATTACATGCATATACGTGCTTCAAACAGAGTTCTTGCCTGAGTGCACCTACTCAATGTCGTGAAGGCAGGATGGGATGGGCTTGGGGCTGTGAAATCAGAGGTGTAGGCTTTGGTTAGCTAGCCCCGAAGCAGGAGTGGTTTCAGGTTGGTGCATCCCTTGCCAGTGGCCTAACCTGACTCTTCCTGGTGCTCTCAGGAATGTTGATGATGTCCTTGTAGGAAAGAGATGCCCAGCTGGTGCCATAGCTGGGCTCTTTGTGACCTCTGCTCTTTCTTTTAGGTGCTCTTTTCCTGCATGTGCAGTGCTGCTGTTGATGAGACTCTAAGGAAAAAGGCTGAAAAGTTCAAAGCTCACCTAACGAAGAAGTTTAAATGGGACTTTGAGGCAGAGCCTGATGACTGTGCTCCTGTTGTGGTGGAGCTGCCTGAGGGTGTGCAAGTGGACTGAGCCAAATGCTCCCTTGGCAGCAAACAGCTTTAAAAATAACTCATTCCTTCTCTTCTCCAGCTGTGCCAGCTTCCTGAATGCAGTTTCTGAAGCTAATCTTCTTTCTGCTGTAGAACACGGGAGGATGCTGAACTTTGCGAGGAGATCAGAGTTATTGGAGGAGTTTGAGAGTTGTCACGTGGACACCTTGGTTTTTTCCCCAGCTCCTCTGCAACAGCTCCTAATAGAATACAAATTCAATACAAATTCAAAGAATCATTTAAGTTGAAAAAGACCTTTTAAGATCATCAAGTCCAGCCATAAATCTAACACTGCCAAGATCATCCTGCACTCAGCTGACTGGGCTCGTGTTACAGGGGTGTGACCACTACTGTTTCACTATTGTGTCAGATGCTCATGCTGCTCACTGTGATTTGTCTGTTGTGGAAGAGGACTCAAAGCCTCAGCAAAATTCCTCCCATTGCATACCCCTAACACTGAGGTATCTTATTCCTCCCATTCTGTTAAAACCTTTTGTATTTACTGCTGATGCTCTGTTTTGCCTGAGGTAAAAGAAAGTGAACAGTTTTGTGACAAGAAATAGTTATTGGACTGTAGTCACCCAGGTCTTGAAGAACAGAGCCAGCGAGATTTAAAGGTCAGATTTCCACATGAACTGGAGCCTCTATTTTGTTGTAATTGGAAATCTTATATATTTTCCCTGGTGACAGTGTCTTCGTTGTCCCAGTTCCCAGGCACAGGCTGTAAGAAGCGTGCGTTGTTTCTGCAAACCTGCACAGAGTTGTACCACTCGGTTGTTACTTCCTCGGCTGTCAGACTCTCTCAGGAATTTGTCTGTGTGCATGTTGAACAGGATAACGCTCTTTGTTAGTCTTTTGTCGTTCAAAATAAATCACAAAAGAACCTTGTCTACAGAAAACATGTGAATAAATGGGGTTATTTAGTCAAAGCTTACAGTACAATGACACTGCCTTCCCTTCCTCATTGGGATGTCCAGTGTCCCTGCAGATGATCTATGACGTCCAAGGGTGGAAGAGGTGTGGCAAAAAGCTCAGTGTGTTCTGGGAAGAAGGTGTGTGATGAAGTGTTTCCAGATCAGCAGGAAATTCCCACAGGGATGGGCCATTGGAAGCCCTCGTTGCTGCTAGGGGCCTTTCCCTCCTTCCTGCAGGGGCTCTGCACTCCATTCCTATGGTGTCCAGGTCTGTCTGAAATGGATTCTGGATTGACCACAGGCCCTATGGGGAGGTTACTCTAATTTGGCAAGTTACACTAGTTTGTTCTTAAGTCTTCTTTTCCATGTTTTCTTGTCCTTAACATCTTGAGATCTTTTGCATGGCAGTGTGACTGTGCTTTCCCTGCCTCCTTGCTCTGTGTTTGGATCCACAGACAGAGCTCTCTTTCAAGTTGTTCCCAGATTTGATGGACAAGGCCATTTTTGGTTTGTTGGCTCTTTGCACCACCCCAGTGACTGGTTCTGGTGCTTGGCAGCAGAACACAGATCCCTGATGTCGGTAGGGAAGGGAGCAGGGAGCCTGGGGCCCTGCCTGCCTGGAAGGGAGAGAGGAGCAGTGCCCTGTGGCTGCACAGGGCTGGCCAGGCAGTGTCAGTGCTCACAGTGGCCTGGCAATGCTCCACTGCTTTGCTGGACAATGATTTGTGTATGTGTTTGTTAAATCTCAAAACCACTAACTGAAAATTAACTGTAGCGGTCAGGTTTCCATGATGAACTACACTTTTAGCAACTGAGAAAAGAGAATATAATTGTACTTCCATTGTGGTTTTTTTTTTCTTTTTGTTAGATGATAGTAGGGACAGCTAATCCCAGAATGGGTTGGGTTGGAAGGGACCTTACAGACCATACAATCCCACCCCCTGCCATGGGCAGGGACACCTTCCGCTAGACCAGGTTGCTCCAAGCCCTATCCAACCTGGCCTTGAACACTTGCAGGGACAACCACAGTATCTCTGGATAATCTGTGCCAGGGTCTCACCACCCTTACAGGGAAGAATGTCTTCCTAATATCCCATCTAATCCTGGCCTCTGTCAGTTTAAAACCATTTCCCCTTGTCCTATTTCTATCTGCCCATATAAAACATTGCTGTCCCTCCTTTTTATAAGCCCCCTTATATCTCTTATTATCTCTCATTATTATTTCTTATTAGACCACAAAACAGGTGGGGAAGAGCCAGGCCATGGGGACACTGTCCCTCTGTTGGACAGGACACAGAAGCAGCTAAATGCAGGTTGGGGTGTTCAGAATCCGACTCCATTACATGACTCTGTTGCATGCTTTGAGGGAAAAGGGAAGCAGGCACATAGGAAGCAACTTGTTGGATGTTTGCAAGGGGGGGTTATAAATTTGGGAGGGAAAAGAGGGCAGTTATTCCTGTTGGAGTCATCAGGAAGGAGGCTATAAAAGGCAAGTGGCAACATGTAATATTGGGATATTTTCTTGCCCTTCTGTAGCCTTAGGCCAGCTCTGGTGATGATAATGCTGCCCCTTCCTCCAGCTGAGGTGTGTCATTATCGGAAAGCAAAAGAGGGATTGTGATGTGTGTAACTACACCTTGCTGCAAGCTAATGAAGTGTAATTTGTGATGTGTTTGCAGCTTTGCTTCAGCACTGAATTCAGGTCAGGACATACAGCTTTCCCTGTGTTGTGCTTCTGTGGAAACTTGTCCAGTTGCCAGAGCTGTGCCAGTGAGGAAATCGGCATCATTCCTGCCCTGTGACAAGTGCCTTCACTGCAAATTGGATTGGAGCAAGGGCCCTGCTCAGCCCCAGGTGAGGCTGATCCCTTGGGAACCAGCAGTGGCATGAGCTGACCACTGGGCATCCCCAAAGCTGCACTACACCCTGCTTTCCCTGTGCAAAGCCCAGAGTGAGTGCATCCAACCCACAAAACTGCTCTTCCATTCCTTTTCGCTGTCCCCACGGGCTCAGTGACGTTGGACAAACCAGAGTTTTCAGTCTCAGGGATAGTTTTCCAGTGTGGGGCCTCCGTGTTCTCCAGAGGGTTGCTTCTTGTTTCATCGACCCTGCAAATTCAGAAATGAGGAATGTGCTGCCTGAGGCTGTGGGAAGCTGCCTTCCTGTCCCAATATTGCACTACTCCCTTTTTTTTGTTAGGAAGATAAATGGCACATCTTGCTCTGATAGTTCATGTGGCTTCATTTGTGATTTCCACTGCCTCCTGCCCACTGCCAAAGCAACAGCCAGACCACTTCTGTCTGCTTTCAGGTGGATTGGCACCAATAACTCCACCATGGCACTGGACAACATCTACAGTGTAGTTCTGCAGCTCAGGTTGAGTTTGTGGCAGCAATGCCTGCAGACCTCTAACAGCACCAATTTGTGTGGTATTAGATGTCACCCAGAAGTGTTCATCGTGTGCTCTAAATGCAAACTAAAGGTGCAAGAGGGCAGGTGGGAAGGTGTACAAAGTGATCAGTAGCTTGTTAGTGCTGTAGTTTTAAATCTGAAGTGAGCCCAGGATTAATGGTTATTTGAACCAGCAATTCTTCATTGGGGCTTTCGCTTTTACTGCTCATTGGTGAGTTGAATTTTTGATTCTTTGCTCAGTGTTTTCTCATGGTAACCCTCCCTGTCTCTCAGCGTTGCGGTTCAGCTCAGGTCTTTTTCTGCTTTTATTAGGTTTTTTTGTTGCTTGTTACTATTGTACCCTTATTTTTCTAATCCAGAAATAACATTGTGCCTCTAACAATAACCAGGAGGTAGAGGTTTTTCAGGGTCTCTTAGACACTCCTTTACTTGGAGCAACATTTATTTCTGCTACTGCTTTGGCAGCTGGACATAGCCTATACCCACTGCTGCAGATGGAGTGGCTGGCACTGAGCTCTTGGAATATGGAAAAAGGTGGAGTGGAATGCCTTGATTCCTTTCTCTGAAAAAGGAAATCATCTTCCCCTGGAGTTGCTGTTTATTGTCAAACAGCTATGACAGTGGCGTGTTCTGCAGCCCTGTTACTGTAAAAGGGATGTGTTGTGAGTGGTCATTCCTTCCCAGTGTGCTCAGCTATTCCATAGCCAGTTCTGCTCCCCTCTAAAACTGTGCATCTCCTGTCCTGATGTGGGCTGGGGCACATTTGGGAGCGCCGGAGTCTGTCCCAACTGGTGTACAAGCCCCAGAGTGGAGCTGGAGCAGGGATTGGGGGTTGCTCCGTAGAGCATGGGCTGTGCTAGAGCCTGTAGTTAATGCACAGGAGACATTGACTGTGCAGGAGCCTCATTAGGAGAGTGCAAATGAGATGCAATGCAGCCTCAATGCAAATAAACTCCAAATGGGTTAATCAATAGCAGGAAAAATCCATATAGCAGGCTCTCAGAGCCACTGCTTTCGGTGTGCTGGTCCAGCTCCTGCCGTGCCTTGGTGGGTCTATGGGTTCATGAGGAAAGAGCTGCAGCAGAAATATGTCCTGCAGATGCAGCACAGCCAGATTGGCACCTTGTCCACTTCCAGCGGAGCCCACAGGCTCCAGCGGCGCTTGGCCACTGCAGCTTGAGGGGCTCCACAGATTTGAAACCAAAAGGCTGAGCTACAGCACCTGCCAGGTCTCAGCTTTGGGCAGGCAAGAAGCAAGAGGGGGAAGGACACAACAAGAGGGTTCCCTTCTCTCATGCCTCCACCCCAGGAGCATCCTCACCAGGCCACTCTCCTCAGTGGCCTGGCTGCAGGCGGTGACTCCTGTGTCCCACGTGGATCAAACAGGTTGCTTAACTGAAGTGCTGAGAAGTTGCCCAGATTTCAGATCCCTGAAGTGTTACCACTGGAATGTTTTCCCCCTCTGCGGGGGAGTTGCAGCTCATTCACTCTCTCAGGTGCCATGCAAGGCTGACCTGGTAAGAGGAAGGTACCAGCAGCTGGGAGTGCTCCTGCAGTGCCCCTCTCCAATTAACTTACTGTCTCTGCCTGTATAAGTTACATCTCACAGTCATTGAATTCAGGAAATTCAGATGGTATTGGGAGGAATAGCGGAGAGTGCAGGCGTTGAGCAAGGAGTGGGGACACGAGGGGCAGGAGCCTGGAGCTCCTCAAACCCCCTGGGCTGGCAGTTGGAGGTCAGTGATTGCCAGGGCATATGTGGGGTTCCCCAGAATGGGAGGTGGTTCTACCCTGTGCTACAGGTTTTAGTAATTTTAAGTCTTTTTTGCCCCCAAGGGCAGGTTTAGCCACATTTATTTTGGAAGGAGTTGATTTTTCAAAGCAAAAGCTGCTTCTCGTCCCCAGCTCTGATGGCTGCGCTTGCATTCATTAGGAGGAGGGCAGCATAAAGGGAAATGCTGTAATATGGATGGCAAGTTTCAAGCTTAAATTTATTAATAAATAAATAAATAAAAGGAAGTTGGTCATTGGTTTATATTCAAAAATCCCTGATTTCTCCCTCAGCTGGGGAGCAGCTGAAAGTGCGAGGAAAAGCCCACGGTGTCCAGGAAGGCTTAACCCAGGGGTAGCTGTGGGCTCACAGGAGGCTTCTGAGGTTTGGAAAAGAGGGACATCAAGGATATTATTATTGAAAAAAACTGGGTTTGGAAAAGACATCCCGTTCCAGCAGTGAAGCAGACATGGGTTTGTCCTTGCCATGAAGGCATTGGATGTTGCATGAAACAAGACGTGTTTCTTTTGACAGGACAGAATTTGGGATTCTTCTTTGCACTGAAGCGAGCAAAGAGGTGGCCATGTCTATTGGGAAAGGATCTCCAATGGACAGGATTTTCCTTGAGAATCTGACCTGTTTCATCATGTGGGGTTTTTTCCCTCTCTTTTTTTTTTCTCTTTTTTCTCTCTCTTTTTTTTTTTTTAATGAAATTGGCTTTGTTTAAACAAAGGAATGTAGTGACAGGCCAAGGGGGGGATGGCCTTAAGCTGACAGAGGACAGGGTTAGATGGGATATTAGGA